ATCAATGTGATGTAAAAAGTGAATAGTCCCATTTTACAGGTTTTCAAATAACTTGGCAGCTGAAGGTAGAAATCTGGTAAAACAAATCTTACAAATGAAATAATTCTGTAGCGGCGCCATCTGTACGGTTTATCAAGTACTACATCGACCTGCAAAGCCGACGTAGTTCTAATAGTAAAGTAGCGTAATGGCGAAGACTGGATAGATGAGACGAGACTAATTATAATACAATTTTTAGGATTTTAGTTGTATATTTCTTATAAATAACATTTAAAAAAGAATTGTTCTGAAAGGTCTATAGAGGTGGAACATGCGAGACCAATGTAAATTACTGGGACTATACAGGTTAAAAGTTCTTCCTTGTTAGATAATCTGCACAGAGTATTGTAGTTATGAATACTTACCTTATTTATGACGCTACACGCACTTAAAAATTAATTTAATTACGAATTTGATACTGAATGAAGTGTAATGTAGACAAAATCTATTGTTAATTTTAAAACAATTTGTCAAAACAGTATAACAGAAAAAACACGTTTAATTTTTTTATAGGATAAGGGTGACAAACGAGCATACAGTCCACCTGATGGTAAGTAGTTGCTGTAGCCCATAGACATCTACATCAAAATGCAGATACGTTGTCATCCGTGATGACAACGTATCTGCATTTACTAAGATGGAATGCCTTCGTTCCAGTAAAAAGGGTCTCAGTTTCTCTACACTCACCATACGAAACACAGCAGCGTTAAGCTGCTATTTTACGCTGGTATTCTTTTTTCCTTTTTATTAAAACGTTTTCTGTGAGAGCGTGGTCCTTTCCCGGTCGAGCCGACCCATTCGTGCTACAGCTATACCACTAATATAGCTGCAGCATGGCTTTACCACGTCCGAAATATGTGGCTTTATTCTAAAACCTTTTTGTATATAAAGTGAAGTGACAAACTAACCTACAGTCAACTTGATGGTAAATGACTATTGCATTTCCTGGACCCGTCCAGCCAACTTCAAATAAAAAAGGCTACAGAAGCGTAATCACCTCTGAGTACTAAGATGGAATGCCTCACAGCCTGGCTCGTTGATCTAGTCTAGCGTGAATGCTGATCATGAATGCTCGGGTTCGAATCCTCCAAAGTGATTGGGTTTTTTCTGTCAAGAAATTCTTAATAGCTGCCCGGTGTCAGGAAGTAGGCGGTGTTTTACGACCGTTCCTCGGAAAGCACGACCGGAGAGAGATTAGGCGCAGGACCAACATAAACCGTTTGTCCTGCGCCTAATCTCTCTCCGGTCGTGTCGGATTGCCGTCCCATCGGACTATAAGAGGGATAGACAGTGTAGACCTCCCTGCGCAGATGGCTAATCTCTATTTGAGACTGGTCGCCGTGACTGAAATGTGATCGCCGTGATAAAGTACATTACTAGTATACTGTCTCTCTATACTGTTCAAACTGGAACTGGAACATAGCAGTACTGCCTGCTATTTGGCGGCATAAAGAGATAAGAGGATGATACAGTCGAATTGAGTACCTACCTCCTCCTTTTTCAAGTCGCTAGAAAACTACAGTACCCTTGCTCTGCTCTGATGGATGTGTTATCCATAAAGATAATGTTTTACTCCCAAATTTCCTAAAATAAATCTAAATACAAAATTTCATCCAGATCTCCATTTATCAATGATGCTTTTAAATACGCAGCTGAGTACTATTAAAGATCTACGTTGTACGTTTTTTAAAGTAGTGATTATATTTTCTTTGTAATATCTTGCACGTTTATAGAATGTCTTTAAATGCATAAATTTGGATCTTTATTATTTTTTTCTGTCGATAATGGCGCCATATATCCAAATGAAACAGTCTGAGTTAAAGTATTCGCTTACCCATACGGACTTTTAAGTGGAAAAGAAGTCCTACCTAATCCTACACCTTAATCAAGTAACAATTTTCTTAGGAAACTGTTATTAAAATAATGACAATAGTACGTAAATAACAAACAAATTTAAAACTTTAACAATACACCTGCAATGTCTGGTTCATACAAAATGTAAGATGCATAAAATTTGCGGCGGCGCGCTGTCTGCTCGGATACAATCTAAATAAACAAAGACCTGCTTGCAAAATCCCTAACAGACGTGCTCCGTTTAATCAAAACAAAATTAATACATGGAAGCAACTAACTGGAACATCTACTGAACATATTTTCAAGCGCTTGCATCCACGTCGAGTTTAAAATACCAAAGTTTACATTATAAAGACATAAATCAAAATGCCCCGTTCCCGATTCTTTACCGCTGCAATCCACGACGGGTTCTGTTATCTCCGATAGTATATGCTTTCTTTGTTCTTATTCATATCCGAGAAAAACGATTTTTTCAACATTTTAAATGATTCGAATCTCATTAGTTCTAAACGAAAATCTAAAAATGATGCTATCAGTAAAACAATTGGTTTCTTTTTCAAACAATACATTTAATTTGTGAATATTTACAACTGTTTAATCTAATTTTTACTCTTTACACCCTGTTATATTTATATTTAATATAAAAATAATTTAATTGCCAAAATAACTGCAAATCTTTTTTCCCAATGTATATCGCAAAGTTGATGACTTAAAAGATCACAGTGGATTAATATGGCCAGGTATACAAGTAAACATAAGATATTATACACAAATATTAGTAATAAACCTGAACGTGAATTGATTTATATGAGTGAATTGATTATTTGGTTTGGATCTCGCTCCAAAAATTGAATCTGTGCTATTTTGGAGCGTTTACATTGCCTTGAAAAGATCGCGAATCTAAAGGTTACAGTGTAGCTTATAGCTTGACATTATGAAAACTTAACATGGAATTACCTAAAAGTCTACTTAAGTGAATAAAGCCTTTGTCACACAGCAATAAATAAATACTTAAAACTACAAGCCTAAAGCTACTTAAGTAAAACTAATTTTATAATCACAAACGTAGGATTCAAATCCTAATAAATCATAAATTTAAATAATATTTAATACTTTTTATAAATGTTTACATACAAAGCCTTGGAATTATATTTATTTAATAAACATCTGCGTGAATTCATTGACATTAAATTTTAAATGGAAGTATGTAGTAATTGTGTCGGCGCGATTAGCAGACTGTCAGACTGGCTTTGCATTGCAACTCGGAGCACAGTCGTAAAAAAATTCAAGCTAATGGAATAAGAACTTATATATGATGTGCTTGTACTTACTCTGAGGTACGTACGTAAATATATTACAGACATAATGATACATTGCTACTCGGAGCACAGTCGTAAAAAATACAGACGTAATGTTACACTGAAAATGTGTGAAACACGCTAGGCCCTACAATTTTGTTTTTCATGCGCGAGACACACGCATAAGGCTGTAACGTTGCATGCTGATGCTGATTGTCGGATCTTGATGTATTTGTGTGCGTCTACAAAACAAAATTGTTGGACCTAGGGTGCTTCACACATTTTCAGTGTAACATTACGTCCGTATTTCTTACGACTGTGCTCAGAGTTACAATGGAACATTACGTCTATAATATTTTCACGTCCGTACTTCACAGTAAGCACAAGCACATAATATGTAAGTTCTTTCTCCATTAGTAGTGCATTGCACATTAACTTAAAGTGCGTTGTGTATTTTTTTAATTTTAATGGTTGTGAATGCATATTTTTTTAATTTTAATGATTATTAACTTTACAATGATCGTTATATTTCCCTTAAATCGACGAATAATCTGGAAATATGTCATATCGTTATCATAAAAATTGTTGTTGAAATAGTAAAGTTGTTAATAAACACATTTCTATTGTTATCCTGCGTGCAAATTTTCCGAATATCTGATATAGCCTAAAATCAATAAGCTGAGGTGGCAATGGGCCGACCGCATAGTGGTAGCCTCGTACTGGTAAGCAAAGTGTGGTGAGGCCCCCCACTAGATGTCAATGAACCAGGTGGATTGAGATCGTGTTTTGTGGTATTGCTTGTAGGAGGCCTATGTTCAACAGTAGACTTATGACGAGCAGTAGTGATGATGATGATACTTTTACTTAAAACTTGACCGAAATATATACATTGGCACTGTAATATGGCCTCCGCAGTTGATAATATGTCTCATGCTTTCAAATTGTTCTTCGCCATCTTATTAGTTGACCGTGGTAGTAATGAAGAAGAGATTACCATACTATTTTTTTTAATTTGATAAGTTAATTTCAATATCCTTTTAAATGCAGCTTCTGATAAATTAAATATATTTCGATCAATTAAAACGACATCAATTAAAAAACATACGTAAATGTTTCATAAGTCTGAGTAAGACTTACTTAATTGTACGAGTCCATAACCAAAGATAAAAAACTAAGTAGATGTATGTGAAATCTCAGATCAACACATAAAGAAAGACGGAGCGCCGCGTACATTTCAAGGACAACAAAAACATGCTAAGTTTATTGTAAGAATAACTACCCTCGTACACATATGCATCTAAAATAATTTACAAGCAACAACATGCTTTTGCATATGTTTGCATCCAGTAGTGAACTTTTACAAGCAGTTAAAGAAAAAGAAGAGGGATATGTGCATGAGTGGATGTCAAGAAGTTGAGCAAGGTTCCTTGACATGTACGCAGCGCTCTGCCTATCTTTCTTCCTTGGTTTTAGTCTAAAAATTAAATATTATTTTCAACAGATTTGAGGTCTACACAAAAATGTTCGCAAAACAAATTTTAGTAGTAACGGTCCCTAACATTTAATTATCAAGATAATATAAAATAAATAACAAAATACATCTACAAAAAAAGGAACATAAGTAAATGTATATTATAATAGGTTAACCCGGATATGGTTCTTATTTTATTTAATTATAAACGTATTTAGATTCGCTAAATTACCATATAGATTACCATCACTTCAAAGATCTATTACCTAATGTATTGCAGGTAGTGCCTACAGATAAACACCTAATTATTTGAAATCAATATGAATAATCTAAGTACATCAAAAGTTGGAGAACAATTTGAGTTCATCAGGGTCGAGGGCTCGCGCTGCCTTCCAGTCCGTCTCAGGATACTCATCGAAGTTCGAAGTATCCCCTTCAAATGACACAGTTGGCATTATGGGAGGCTGTGAACAAAATGAAAAGAGATTTTACATAAAACTGAAAACTTTGTCCACTGTTGAACATCCCTATCTGTAGACATGAATGATGATTTTCCCATTTTTAATATAATTGGCACAACTTTTGGTAAACATAGGGACGGAATTATTTTTGCATAGAAGTGACATTATTTGTTGTAATTTGCACGAATGGAAAACATTTCCTCTGATAAGGTTTATATTTCTGAAGGTATCGTCTTTATTCTATTTCAATCGATTAGTTCACTGCCCTCAACACATTTTCTCTGTAACGCATTTCAGAGAATTTCACTCAATACTCCATCAAAATAAAGCGATTGTAAAGCATTAGGTATTTACAAAATATTAATGCTTTACGACCGCAACCGGTCTACCGCGGATGCAGGACCGGGATCTTACCAATCCCGATTGAAGCCAACATTTGTAAAAAAAAAAGAACACAAATTGTTTGTATTATTCGTATATATGGTTTGGTTGTGATATTATTATATATAATTGTCTCTTACAACCTCTGTTTAAATATCTAGTCACTTATTACATAAGGCACAAGTAGAATAAGACAAATATCTAGCACGAATGGGTTCGCTCGACCGGGGAAGGACCACGCTCTCACAGAATACCAACGTAAAATAGCAGCTTAACGCTGCTGTGTTTCGTATGGTGAGTGTAGAGAACCGGAGACCCTTTTTACTGGAAACGAGGCATTCCATCTTAGTCCTCACGGGTGACAACGCATCTGCATTTTGATTCGTAATCGATGATAGATGTAGATGTCTATGGGCAACAGTAACCACTTACCATCAGGTGGACTGTGTGCTCGTTTGTCACCCATATCCCATAAAAACATGCCTTTTTGTTTCCGCATTGACACTACATCATGTTTTAAGCAATCATTGTTTAAAACCTAATTTTCATCGACCTTGGTAACAACTTGGAAAAGGCTGCATCCAACAGTAGGCGTTATGCCACAGGCTCTTGCCAACCACGTAGTTGGTTGGTTGGTTTCAGAGGTTGGCCGTTGTTTCAAGTTACTTACAAGGTTAATGAGTATTTTTATAATATATTTGAGGTCACGGAAAGTACTTGTCATGGGTTGCCAGCGCAAGAGTTGCCTAATTTAACACCTCATTTCATTCTGTGGGTGCCGTAAAGTCGTAAGCGGAAACGAATGCTAGTAACATTTAATGTACACCGATAGCTGGCAGTATAAACCAAAATGGCATGTCATAAAAACGAGTAGCAGGTGTAAAATACCCAGATCGGGAACGATAAAAATAAAGTCTATGATGCGGGACACAAGGTACTGCGATTTCCAAACTGACTTCAAAATGTGAGCGAGCCATTGGGTGCGTCAAAACCTCTCAGACTATCTATGGCTGGTGGTGATAATGATTGATGATAGAAAAAAATTATGATTAAATTACATGAAACCGTGTAGTGGCGGGGTAAGAATATCGACTACCCTATTTCGTCGCGTGGATGGGTGCCATAAGAGGCGACAGAGGGAAATTTAAACAGATGATGGGCAGCAGCATCTTTCTGATGATAACAACTCAAAGTTATAAAAATTGTTCAATTCTCGAATAAATTAATAATTAAAGTTGGTAAAAATTACCTTGCGTACATCCGCTCGATAAAATAAAATGATGTGTCTTACCTAGTTTGAAGAGCACATCCCGCCCTCCCTCAATTGCGTGCACTATCCCCGTCACCACTAATCCTAGCACCACTACTCCCAACACCATTACACTAGGAAAGACACACCACTGACGACAATACGACACGTGTTTCGCCTCTACACGAGGCATCTTCAGGTGATGTAGACTCTGCGGTGGCAGACCGCTAAGTGAGCGGCGTTGCGAAACACGTGTCGTATCGTAGTATTAGTAAGCAGTTGTTTTGGCTCACCGCTCACTTAGCGGTCTGCCACCGCAGAGTCTACATCACCTGAAGATGCCTCGTGTAGAGGCGAAACACGTGTCGTATTGTCGTCAGTGGTGTGTCAAGTGAATTTTACTGTGTGATTACCAGATGGAATGCCACATCATTTGTTATTCTATTGAAATAAAAAGTTTATTCAAGTTATAAAAACCAACAGAGTTTGAGTTACCTGCAACTTTTTCATAAACACATCGGCCCAATCCAAATGCTTAAACCACCTGTGCCTTTTAACATCTTCAGATCCGCACTGTAACATAAATAAAAAGAGGTGGTGTTTAATACTGTAATTACAAACAGCTGTAAAAGTTTCAAATGAATCCATCTGCAACAATCGCTGTAACAAGTCAATGCATTGCCGTAAATCTTAACTTTAGTAGTCACTTCGTTGGATTTAGATTTAGAGCGAATTTTGTTATTATTGGCTTAAGCGACGTTCATTCGCAGTTAGACGTCGTAAATTGTAACGTTAAATTTTAACTTTACATTTCTGAGTCAGCTGATTGCGTAAGCAGACATTTTACATTATTTATTTCAGAGAGAATTGATTGATCGATACTTCAGTTCACTTCGGCGGTTTTATAAATTGAAGACTTGTACACTATTGGTGAATTATTTTTTTCTTTTATATTGGCCACAAACATTCATATTTCACTTATATAGTTTACTTTTATATATGAGATAAGACCAAATAGTGCCAATAAATCTACATTAACTAACCATATTATTTACATTCTGAGACATCAATGTCTCACTATAATTAATGTAGGTAATCATAGTTAGTTGATAAATATATTTTCTTTAATCTCTAAGTAAACTATATGTTAACTCATATTAGATAATATGTAAAAATTGTGTGAATGTTTGTTACTTAATCACGTTTAGAATGGCTGGATAAAATTTACACAGATACAAGGCATACAGATAGATTATATCCCGGATTAAAACATGAGATAATTTATAACAAAAAAAAGTTACAAGGTGTGAGTTGAAATGAAGAAGTTTCTGTGTCTACGCAGGCGGAGCCACGGGAAAAAAGTATTAGCTAATTAATGAACAAATAATTAATAACATCTGATGAATAAGAAGTTATGAGTACAGTCACTTAAGTTACTTAAGTTGGCTTTTGTTTTTCTTCATATATGTTGGAATGTATGGTATATTTAGTCATATATATATATATATATATATATATATATATATATATATATATATATATATATATATAGCGGCTTGTCCAATGTTGGATAAGCCTTTTAAGAATACATCAAGTGGTATGCATAATAAAAAGTAGACTGTTTATTAAAGATTTTCTTTATTAAAGAAATGATGATTACTTTCGAAGTTCCTAAAAATGATTTCATTTGCCTTTGGAATAACATTTCGTATTTTATTTATTTTTATTTATTATTTACACTTTCATGCGTAAAGTAGTACATATGGCGGACTTAATGCTATAATAGGGCATTTTCTACCAGTCAACCATTAGGCTAAACATAGATAGACATATAAGAGGTGGTTGTATGGTGTTAGAAATATTTTAAATACTAGCTGGCAAGGCAGACGTTGTTCTGCGCTTTCCGAAGACCCTTCCTATAGAAAATTCATAAATTCGTAATAAAAAATATTGAGGGTCACTTATAGGGATAAAAACTATCCTATCTCTCAAGTTGGACCAAACTGCACACAGTGTGCAAAATTTCATTGCAATCAGTTCAGTAGTTGAGTTCATCGCGGACAAACAATGTGACACGTATTTTTTATATATAAATATAAATGATTTAACTATCTACCATAAAACTAATCATATAATTTAACGAAAGTAAATCTATCAATCATATCTTAGCTTATAGCTTAAAGCAATAATCAACTAACGATTTTATTTATGCCGCTTCTAGAATAAATATCAAAGCAGCAAACTATTATTGGAGAATAAGGTTTAATGTACATTAAGTATCATTAGAAGTGCATAAATCCCCAGTATGTGAGAGCTGCCTCACTACGAATCCAGTTTTCCAAGCACGTTAAAAAATAAGTAGTGTTACCAATAAATAAAGAAAATAGGGATATGTAACTGAATATAACTATGAATACAGTTTATTTTGAAAGAGAAAATAGCCTATGTTCGAAGTTACGGACTGTGAAACCAAAAAGTCATGTTAAGTTCAAATCCGTCATTTCACTACTGTTGTGATCCGCTCCTAATTCAAGCTTTTACATCTTATTAGAGTAGGTAATAGCTATGTTAGTATTGTAACTATTATTTTCATTAAATAATGTTACGTCATTATGTCAATAATAAGTTTATAAGGTAGATGAAAATATACATACATAAATACACTTAAAAGTCACATATAAATAAATAGTGTGTTTCATTTTTTGATTATGTATGCATTATATAAGTAAAATTAGTAAAATCTGGTTCAAAGATTCTAGATTATAAGCAACAATAAGAATATTACTTTGGTGTGTAGTAATAAAGAAAATATGTAGAAATATACCATATTTCAATACCAATAAAATTTTTCGGCATTTGAAAATCTGACTTCAAGTATTAGGCACAGACCGGTGACAAATACAGAACTAAAAAAATGCGTGTTGGGACAGTAGTGTTCCTCTTGGTAGGTTATTTTTATATCTATGTTATTTTGAAAATTAACCATAAATTTAAAAGTAATTTACCAATGTAACGTGGTGAGATGGTAGCCTAGGAGAATCCATCATCCTATTTCATTCCGTGGGTGCACTAAGAAGTGACTACAGGAAACGTAAGAAACATTCTAATGTCTTATTCTAGACTAGAAACCATCTCGTAAAACCCAGGCAAATAGCAGGGAGTAGTATTGTAAGTTCAAGGCCACTACATACCAAGATTAACATCCGCCTGCCAAATTTAGCAATTACGGCATATATTTAAAAAGCCGTAAAATCGTCATTGAACAGAAGTAGGTTAAAGGAAGAAAATATAGATACAATTATTTTCTTTATTTTTTAAAGTAAATCCACTATCTTCGAAACGAATGGAGACCCTAGTATACCTTAGCATCGTATATTTCCATCGCGATCTTGGTCAACATTCGTGGACGGTGGCTTTTGATGTCACTACCGTCCACCCGACTGATGGCTTTCTAAACACCTACGTGACATCGTAATGGCGGCAAAAAGCTCAGTGAAAACATCCAATCACTAGAAACTGCGCTCGTTAACGACACACATTCCCCGGTGAAAAACTCTCTATCCCATACCTACCCAGAAATGCAATGTTTGCACTTACTTGTAAACGTTATGAAAACAAATAATCTTTATAATCAGTTTATCAAAAAATGAAAGACACTATTTAAATAAAAAATAAAATCACCACCTGGTTGAAAATGAAATGTGTAAATATTTCAAAGTAATATAATTATAATATACGTAATGAATGCAAAACGCTTTTTTGTGCCCACTCTACTGAGCGTAGTTTAATATTCATTTAAAAACAAACTAACCAAAATGATTACTTAATATAATAAAATCCTATTTAAGATAGTAGTACGGCTTAGTGTTTATATGTTTATAATCACTAAGGTAAGTGTATATAAGTATATATATTTTATAGTATAAGGGTGACAAGCGAGCACACAGTCCACCTGATGGTAAGTGGTTGCTGTAGCCATCTACATCTATCCTCGTTTGCGAATCAAAATGCAAATGCGTTGTCAGCCGTGAGGACTAAGATGGAATGCCTCTTTTCCAGTAAAAAGGGTCTCCAGTTCTGTACACTCACCATACGAAACACATCGTCATATCAGCTGTACCAGGCGCCACTCCTTGGTGACAATACTCTTTTTACGCCTAGTAAATACGTCTGGGTTGGTACCAACTTCATACGTGTTTTACCGCCAAGCGGTAGTGTATTCTTAATTGTGTTCCGGGAGCCAATATAATAGGTTATTTTCAAAAAGTGTTTTAAATGAATCCTAGAGTGATAATGAACCTCTGTAATTTTTATATAAATTTTTAAAACCGAATCATCATCATCATCATTACAGCCCTTCACAAGTCCACTGCTGAACATAGGCCTCCCCCAAAGAATGCCACAAAGCACGGTCCTGAGCCACCTGCATCCATCGACTTCCTGCATGTCTTACCAGGTCGTCACTCCATCTCGTGGGGGGACGCCCTACACTTCGCCTACCGGTACGAGGCTGCCACTCGAGAACCTTTCTTCCCCATCGGTTGTCGGTTCTTCGAGCTATATGGCCGGCCCATTGCCACTTCAGCTTACTAATCCGTTGGGCTATGTCGGTTACTCTGGTTCTACTGCGAATATCCTCATTCCTAAGTTTATCACGCAGAGAAACTCCGAGCATAGCCCTCTCCATAGCTCGCTGAGCGACCTTGAGCTTCCTCATCCGGCCAGCAGTGAAGGACCACGTCTCAGTTCCGTATGTCATCACTGGCAACACGCACTGGGTGTACAGTCTCGTTTTCATGGTTTGAGGTATACCTGACGAGAAGATGTGCCGTAATTTCCCGAACGCTGCCCAACCGAGTTGAATCCGTCGATTGACCTCTCGGTCGAAGTTGGACTTACCTAGTCGGACTATTTGTCCCAGGTAAATATACTCGTCAACAACTTCGAGCTTAGTGTTCCCAACAACTACCGGCATAGGTGTGACATGGACATTAAACATGATCTTAGTTTTGTCCATGTTCATCTTAAGACCTATCCGTTGGGAAACACTATTGAGGTCATTGAGCATAGTGCTTAGGTCCTGCAGCGATTTTGTCATAAGGACTATATCGTCGGCAAATCGAAGGTGAGTGATGTACTCGCCATTGATGTTGATACCGTATCCTTTCCAGTCCAGAAGCTTGAAAACGTCTTCCAATGCAGCGGTGAAGAGTTTCGGGGATATGACGTCACCCTGTCTTACACCTCTCTGCAATTGGATAGGTTTCGTACTCTGGTTCTGTACTCGGATAGCCATCGTAGCCCTACTGTACAAGCACTTCAACACTTCGTTATACCAACAGTCAACTTGGCACCGCTGAAGGGACTGCAGCACCGCCCAAATTTCGACGGAATCAAAGGCTTTCTCATAGTCCACATACGCCAGACATAGTGGCAAATTGTACTCTTCCGACTTCTCTACAATTTGCCGAAGGGTATGTATGTGGTCTATGGTGCTAAAGTCCTTTCGGAAACCGGCTTGTTCGGGAGGCTGGAAGTCGTCAAGTCTGCGCGCGAGACGATTCGTAATGACTCTCGAAAACAGCACGTAGACGCGGCTCAGGAGGGAAATCGGTCTGTAGTTCTTCAAGAGAGCGTTGTCACCTTTCTTGAAGAACAAGACCACCGCACTTCTGCTCCACGCCTCCGGTGTAATGTCACCATGGAGGACGGAATTAAAGAGCTTCTGAAGGACTTCAAGTACCGGTTTTCCACCCGCTTTCAGAAGCTCCGCTGTAATTCCATCCTCGCCTGGGGCCTTGCCGTTTTTAAGGTGCTGGAGAGCCATTCTAATCTCGCTCAGACTGACGTCCGGGATATCTTCGGAATAGTGTCGGATGAGACTCGCTCTTGGATCGTTACTCACACTTGCGTGTGGCTCCAACGATGACGTGTACAACTGCCCATAGAACCTCTCAAAATCACTCAAAATCTCAGGTGTCCCGGAAACGATGAAAACCGAATAGTGCCATAAAAATTACTTTTAATCTATCGTTTTAAATTTTCGCGTGAAAACGATAGCCGCCATGTTGTTTAACTCGTGACGTCACTGTCCTAGAATTTTGCCGATTTTGCAAAGGAATAAGATACTTTTGGATGTTTAATAATGAGTTATCAATCATCATCTATATCATTGTTGTGTTGTGTCTGAATTTAAAAATACGAGCATATGAACGCCGGGGAAGTTATGGATTCATGTGGCAACTGATTTAAATATGAGAAATACTTGATTAAAACTAGCAAGAAGAGACCCGAAGGCATTGTCTACAAAATCTAAACTATACTTCTGTGAAGATCACTTTGATGTAAGTATGACTTATATTTAACTATCGTTTACACAAAACAAAACATCATGACATGATAGGTGCATGACCTATTGCAAGTCAAATTTTGTAATAGATTAGGTTAATCGCTCGTCTGTCCCGCCCTTTGTGGGCCATTTTGACAGCCCTTGCAGGTGCAGTGCATTGTTTTACTTAATTCGTGTTTTCTTCTATCATATGGGAATAATGACATGGTTTGTACAAAAAAATATAACAAAAAGTTTTTCTCACTAAGCTTATAATATAATATCTATAACATTAGTACTAAAAGCGAAGTAATAAACTCGCTTTCGCTAAAAATTTCAAATATCATAAAGATTAGTGCATGTTTTAGCTGGAAAATGATATGGAAAATTAAGCACAATATAAGATTATGCTTTTAGTTAAATGAATTCGGATTAAATTCGAAATAAAACTCAATAATCGTAATGATAACTTGAAAATTTTCGAAATAACACAGCACATTAGCTAGTTCTCATAATCAGTGACGTCACGACGGTATCTAATATGGCGGACAGTGTATTGCGGATTTGAGGCAAAGATAAAAAAAATATTCTTAAAATTGAAATATAAAATTTATAATGTATTTTTATAAACAGAAGTCAATATTTCTCGTTTACTTTTTACATGTTTCATTAGACACCATAGTATTTGATAAAAGTCAATACTCAACAGATTGAAATGTAGTTGAATAAAGTCTTTCGATTAGAATGACACATTTTAGGTGGTAGAGCTATGCTGCAACTAGCGAGGTTGCACCACACTCTCACAGAATACCAGCGTAAAATAGCAGCTTAATGCTGCTATTGCGTATAATGAGTGTAGAGAAACAGACACCCTTTTTACTGCAAACGAGGCATTCCATCTCAATCCTCAGGGGTGACAACGCATCTGTATTTTGTTTCTTAATTGAAGACAAATTTAAATTTCTATGGTACACCGCATCCACTTACCCTCAGGTGGACTGTGGGCCCGTTTGTCATCATTATTCTATTAAAAAAACACATGGCCCTTCTGGGTATCGCGATTTGGTAATCAGAAAATCGATTGTGACAAACGATTTTCCGATTATTAAATGCATAATTTAAGGAGCGAAAGTAAACAAGAACAAGATCATAAAATCATGCGTGTGATGTGGCACGTGAGGAGTACACTCTTATAAACGCACAAGTGTTTATAACTCGCACGTTGCAATTGCGAATCAAATGATATTTTAATAAGGAAGTTGTCAAGCGCAAGATTAGAAGTTAAATATGGATCTGCTGGAGAACAGCCAACAACTACGAAAAATTCAGAATTTTCATGCTACGTATACTAAATTTGAAAATTTCGAATACGCTTTCAATGTACCGTTTCAGGGGCATCGATCCGTGGTGCACGAGAAATATTTAGATTATTCTTTTAATATTACATTCATATCAAATTATACACTTAAAAAAGCATTTGCGTGCACTGAAAATGCTTTTTCTTTCTACACCAAGATGACACAAAGTAAATGCATTTTGTGTGCATTTTTCATTGTTGTGTGTGAACAAAAATAACAGTGTATGTGGCGTTCTTGTGATTCTAAGTTGCTCAAAAATAAATCCAATAAATTATAGAGCGTGTTTTTCTGATTTCAGTTAATAATTTTTTTACGCGGTTGGGTGTTTGTTTTTAATAATTGCGTTTACTTCGAAGTTTTGAATTTAGAACAAGTTGTTCAGTTAAGTACTTTTAAGTAAATAAATCCTATAGTAAGACCGTGGGTATCGTAAAAGGCGACAGAGAGAAACAAATCAGAAGATGGGCAGCAACGTCTTCCTTATAACGACTAAAAATAAAAAACTGCGGTTGCCAACCCGCTTGCCAAATGTGGCAACTATGGCAAATATCCCCCCTATGAGGCAATCTATAAGGGATGCCGATGTTCAGCAGTGAACTTTAACCATAGATATATTAACAGACTGTAACAGTAACGTTAAGTTGTATGGTGATGGCAGGTTACCAAGATATGATTTTAGAAAATAAGGAATGTCTGTAGCTAGACAAGTAGATTCCATTTTCGGTAAGATTTATTCTATCAAGTAAGTGTTATCAAAGTTTGCACTCACCTTCATATTACCGAGCCTTTTTGTCCGGTCTTGCACTAAAAGCTTCTTAATAAGGTCCTTGGCGATGGGGTCGAGGTGTCGAGGCCAGTCAACTCTCCCGTTAAGTATTTTCTCATATATTCCGAATGGGTTATCGTCGTAAAATGGCGGATAACCAACTAACATTTCATAAATAAGCACACCTGGAAAAGATACATCTCACAATAATAAAAAACAATTTGTATGTATATATATAGATATTTATGATCAGTCATTGCAGTTATAGTCTTTTCAAGTACATTGTGCAACACTTCCCAATACTATTCCTTCGGTTGGGTCACAGCAAGAAGTGGAGAAGTTACATACTTTAGGGTTCCCACTCTAGGGTGTAGGCTGTCTCTCAGAAAAAAAACTTAGCTGAGTATATGCTTAGCATAACTTCATTCCACGCATTACGTTTTTGACTACACTGTATAAAATTAAAAAGTATATATGTATATATTTTAAATCGAAAACAGTCCAAATTGTATTTCATAAATAACTGTTATTATTACATGAAATAGAAAACGTGCGTATGAGAACGGGAACGGATGAGATGAGTGCAAAATCAAAAAAAAAAAGAAAACAAAATTGATTTTAAGAAATTCGAAATAAGATTGAAATTACGTAAAAGAATATGGATTAATGCTATTTAAAACTAGATGACGGCCTAAACTTACCTATTTATTGTTATAATTAATTGGAGTAACAAAAACAACAATTTAAAGTTAATACAGTGGTTTTGAATAATATACTCAGTTTTACGTAAGTCGTCGATATCGTTGACTTAGGCTTTGCTAAGCGCACACTCAACACGACTTCGAAGTTAGCTCTATAAATACCGACATTGTCTTAGCTCGAAAGTAAAGCCTGAGCAAAGTCAAAGTACGGTCTATAGATCTCAGCTTAAGAAGTAGAGAAAAGAATGACGAAAATCAAATGCCACTGACAAACAAACACGCGAAATTTGCCTTTCTCGTTTGCAACAAAACTTATTTTCAGCTGGTGTGTGTGTTTTGCTGAACAAAAAATGCGAAGCAGGTGTGTAGCATTACCAATATGTTACTTCAATGCCAAGGGGCACAAGAAGTAACCGCGTCACGCAAATCTTCTGCCCGTAAATTATATCTAAGCACACTTATAAGTTTGGCACGGGCAAGCTATTTTGTTCTATGAACTAGAACATAAATCAGCGGAGAATTTAATAAGTATTGCGTAAACATAACATTTAAATGTCTGCACGTTCACTAGCCACGTGCCGACTGATAGATCTACAAACAATGCACGACAAATCCCTTCACAAACAGTTGTTATGAAAGCGTTGTTAAAGTTGTTAAACTAAATTTAAGATAGAAGGAGAACAAACCTCCGCTTTATTTGTCTGTTATTCTAAAATAAATAATTTCTTTACTATAAACATAAAAAATCTAAAGGACTTAATTTTAGTTTTATCTTTATGAAGCAAGTGTTATATAAAACAAGTCGTATTAAAATAGGTATTCATCATCTTAATACCTTTGTAATTTAATTTTTAAATCGTTTAGGTATCAAAATACATATCGAAAGTACCTACATATATTTTATCATTTATAATTAGTACATTAAATGTATTATACCGATGTCCAGAATAGAACAGACAAGAAACCCGAGAAAGGATTTTTATATAAAAATAGGTGGTACTGTGAAGTTTGTACAAGATACGAGTACCTATATACATTTGTATTACATTCCACACAAAGTCAATAAGGGCTCACTAATGATTATTTGTGCGTTGTAACAACAAGAATAAATTAACTTTTGTGAATTTGAACAAAATTCACTGTAACAAAAAATATATAACAGTTTAACGGAACATAAGAAAAAACTTTGCAGAGTAAATTAGGTAGTAAAATTGACTTTGACCTTCAATTTAAAAATGAAAGTCACGTGGCTTACCTCAAGCCAGCTTTAAAATAAATCGACAATGAAAACGTCCTCCAAAAGCTCCATTGCATAAAATTTGTTTTTCATATAAGTACTAGCATATTCTAACTCTCCTCCTTTCTTGTACGTGGTACACGTACCGCCACTAAGTAATTAAGGGTCAACTTACTTAAAGTACCGTACGTTACCGTAAAGGGTCAATAAGTATTCTCGAATATAAACCATATAAAATTGAAAAACGGAAAATACCAACTGCCGTTAAGGATAAAAAGAAAGATTTTCCAGTATAGAACTAAAAAAGGCTAATAATCACATCTTTTCACCTTTGACCGGTGCTATAATGTTTGGCATTCAGTACTACACATTTTGTTGCCAAATGGGTCAGGTGGAAGAGTTAAAATTAAAAAAGGATAATTTCTTTTTCCTGGAAAGAAGTTCAGTACATGTATAAGTCGATAAAATGTCATTCACATTAACATTAACATACCTACAAACACCTTTCAAAAAGATCCTTAATCGATACTTTCAACTACTAAAAATTCACTAGAAAATAAACGAGTATTAAAAATAAACGATATTTCATGCATTCTTTTCTCGTTTCAAAGCTGTTGAAAGTAGTTGGTTAGCAACATTTACATATAAAGTTGCATAAAATCTAACTTATCTATAAAAAATTATACCACTGCAGTGTATTAATTTAAAAAAAAACGAACAGTTTAGAAGTAATCTCGCACTCGCAAGTCATGTTAAACAATTTAAAACATGATGTTCCCACAGAAATATGAATTAATTTAGACATGTACTACAAGTATTTTACAAACTATCATGTATTTCTAAAATTCATAACAGTAGGAGTTATTTTTATTATCACAATACTTTTGTATTATTGTATGCGTAAAAGAAAGAGCTGATCTCAGAGGGTTTTAGCGCAAAGAAGTGTCCACCGCGCTGGCCCTATGCGTGTTGGCGGACTTCAGAAATATTTTTTTTAATTTCTCAGATATGCAGATCACGTGACAAACCAGCACTTAACATTGCAATTAACAATTTCATTGGTGCCGGCGGGCATCAAACCCGGGTTGTTCGCGTACTGTACAATTTGCAGCGGGTGCTTAGCCTCCTAAGCTACCATGGCTCTTTTGTATGCATATCATTTTTAAAATACAGATGTAATGGACGACTTACCTAATGCCCACCAATCAACAGCTTTATTGTGTCCTTTGCTCTGTATAATTTCGGGCGCAAGGTACTCCGGTGTTCCACATAGGGTCCATGTGCGATCTGTCAATTTTTTCGCAAATCCAAAATCAGTGATCTTTAAATGGCCATCTTTCGCTAGTAGCAGGTTCTCCGGTTTAAGGTCTCTGTACACAATGTTCCTTGCATGAAGGTACTCGAGCGCTGAGACTATCTCTGCCGCATAAAAATTTCCTATAAGAAAAAAAATTTAATATAATATCTGTCTTTACCAAAACTTTCACTAAAATACATTTAAATTATGCATGTTGTAGATGGTTTATGATAATGCAGTGATGTATGAGAAGATCCACATAAAACAACTCACCGATCACTTTCTACAAAAGTTTATGGTCAACAGAACAGTAAATTAATCCGTAAAAAGTTTATACAAGTTTATCAAAATCTAAATCTCATTTTAAGTATGCTAATTACATTAACATAAATTTTATTATTTATTGTGCTATTTATTAACATAAACAAAAACATTCCTACAATCAAAGAACATTCCTTTTATATTTAAGAAAATATTTTTTATAGAATTAGGGTGACAAACGAGCACACTGTCCATCTGATGGTAATTGGTAAAACGTAATAATTATATACTCTTATGCTACTAATTTAAGATGGTATTTTGTGAGAGCATTTTTTATAGCATAGGATGACAAACGAGCACACAGTCCACCTGATGTTAAGTGAATACTGTAGCCCTTAGACATCTACATTTATGCTCAATTAAGAATCAAAATACAGATGCGTTGCCACCCCTGAGGACTAAGATGGAATGCCTTGTTTCCAGTAAAAAGACTCTCCGGTTCTTTACACTCACCATACGAAACACAGCAGCATTAAGCTGCTATTTTACGCTGGGATTCTGTGAGAGCGTGGCCCTTCCCTGGTTAAGCCGATTCATTCGTATTACAACCATCATATATATGTACACAAAAAATATTTTTTGTATAACCAAGTATTGCCACGTAGGGGCGACGTAAGAGAATCCACTACCTCATATCATCTCGGGGGTATTTAAGAGGCCACAAAGGGAAATTGAAACAGGAGATGGGCGTAAGCATTTCTCGTAACAACCTAATATTAAAATCATCTGCGGTAGCCAAAAAAAAACTATGACGAATATCCCGCCTAGAAGGCATGGGGAAAGATATGTTGAAGGTCTATGCTCAGCAGTGGACTTTTGATAGGAAGTAATAATAATAATATCCTCCAGATCGATTCGGTCACGGAACTCAGGCTAGCCATCTACGCAGTACAGGATTGTAGTGCCCAAGTGTATGACACCGGGCAGCTACTAAGAATTTCTTGATGGAAAAACTCAATAACTGACTTTTGGCCCGACCCGGGATTCGAACCCGGGTGCTCATGATCAGCAGTCGCACTACTACAACCACTAGACCAACGACGTAGTCAAGGTTGGAAGCAATGAATGAATGAAAGTATAACCAATTGCCTCATGTTCTTGTTTAAATATTTTTCGGTCATTATTTAGCTGATGTATTATTAATAAGTATAATAAAATGAATAACATTTTTTAAACAAAAAATAACATTATTCGGTCTGAATATTAGTTTTAATAATTTTGTTATGTTAGTAAAATTGCTGCTGTTGAGTTAAGAAAGTTTTTCTTCCCCATTAAAGATAAGCACAGGCCCACACAGTACTACTCGAAATTAACGCAAATTTAACTCAAACAAAAAAAACGGCGGTAAACAAGTCATTTAACAAATTACAATATTTTCAGCAGCATGTTTTATCTTTAATTTGCCATGGTCATGACAAAAGAAACTACAAATCCAAAAATTACTCTTGTTATCCATTATGCACTGTTTAACTACAACACAGTTTCTAACATTTCTTTTACAATACCTACTTTATTACTACGAGTAGTATGGATTTTTCCACAAATTCACCTTAAGAACGTACACATATTTCCATATTATGTCTAATCACATGGAAAATGCCTCTGACCACTCTTCTTTCGACACCCCTGATGTGCATGCCTTCAGTGTACAACGCAGACACAGTAAGCTTTAAGTTCATTCTCCTTGTTACGTATTTTAAATAAATTAAAAATATCAACATTTTTATTATTAACTTTTAAAATAAACTGCTAAGAAAATACGTTTATTTTGGACATGACCAATCAACGAAAAAGATTTTTATAAGTTGTTTACCAAAATTTTTCTTAACCTTTACAACATCTTTGTTCACGCATATAAATAAGGAAAACTAAAAATATTCACACGTTATTTGCTTTTTCAAGCAATAAAAGTTGTCAAATTGCGACATGGATGTGTCCATTCCACCATTGATAATATTACTTAGTCAGGTCGTGTCAAAAAGTTTATATAAAATTAATGATACACTTTTCGATAATTATATAGAAATTATATATGAAATGAAAGGTTATTTAATTTAGAATACAATTTTATTTACATTATTCAAAATGCCCTCTCCTATTTTGAATACATGCCCTTAATCGACGCGGCCAATCATCCATCGCAGCATGCACCACATTCATATTTATTTCTGCCGCTGCTTTAGCCAAAGACGCTCGGAGAGATTCCAAATTCTGATGAGGTTTAGCGCAGACTTTCTCCTCCAAATGTTGCCACATCTTGTAATCCAGTGGGTTTAAATCTGGACTAGAAGAAGGCCAGTATTAATGTCCGATAAAGTCCATTCCACGGACGGTCAACCAGTTTTGCATGCTTCGTGCCCTATGAGCTGGTGCAGAGTCCTGGTGGAATATCCAACGTCTGTTTTTGAGCATTGTTTGAGAAAGAGGTTTCACTATGTTTTTAGGACGGTATTTTAGTACACCTCCGCACTGGTTTTTACACCTTTTTCACAGAAAAATACCTCAGTCAAGCCTGAACATGAGACTCCAAGCCAAACCATGAGTGACGAAGGATAATGTCCTCGTTAGACCCTCGGAATACGCGTGCTGGCTTCTTCACTGCTGTGGGCACACACCTTATCATTTTGTTTATTATAACTTTCTTTGATGTTAAACATTTTTTCATCCAAAAACAAAATTTCGCGGCATTTTTTCCCGCGTACCGCCGTAACAAAGCGCGGGATCTATCCAGCCTAAATTTTTCAAACGATCGTTCAAAAAATGTACGGTCTTCTTACGATAAGCTCGTAGTCCTAGGCCTTCACTGATCACTCTTTTGACCGTGGTTCTGCTTAGGTCCTGAAGAGCTAAGATTTTTTGTTTACGAAAGGTTTCGTTGGATTCGCGCCTTCACTACTTTGACGATCGTCCTACGAGGTCGGCCGGTCCTCTTACGATCTTCGAAGCTTAAATCTTCAGTGAATCGTCTGAAAGTGCGATAAACAAATCGTAGGGTTATTTTAAATTTTTGTAGAATATTGAAAACCTCTTTTGGCGCATGACCACAGGGGTGCATGTTGCTGGAGCAGGTTTATTCTATCTTATTTCTTCAACCACTCCATATTTGAAAATGAATGAAAATTAATGTTGTTTTTTATTTTCCACGCACAAAAGTTATATATTTAAAATTGGTGAAGTTCATCTGGCCAGTATTCAAAAAATTTAAATAATAAGGTTTTGACAGAACTTATGACCCGACTAAGTACATAGCGTTACGTTTGTAATCGTCGAGATGGTAGGCAGAGTACATCGGACCACTTTTAGCCAAAAAACAATATAAGTTTATATGGAAAAGTACGGTGGTCTCTGGTACAGCTTTACAAAAGTAAAGCTGTAATGACTCCCCTGTATTTTTATGTTCGAGGAGTGAGGATATTATCTGACATTATTTGTGTGAAGTGATATTATTACAGTATTATTTTTTTAAGTGCGCTTTCAATTGGTAGCAATCAAGAAATCAATTTCATTTTTGCGTTCATAAATTCGAAGCCAATTACCAGGCGTAAGCTCTAACGTCACTTTTCGTCTCTTTTATTAGTAGGTATAGTTTGTCGGGGACGGCGTTACGAGAAAGCTCCGATATAAAATTGCACAATTAAATTTACCAAAGACTGTATTCAATTACTCACGCTGAAAGCAATCAACGTTCACTTGTGTATAAAATAATTCTGCTCGAAATTTGAAGGGTGTTTTTGCCATATTACTTTTGCGCGTGTTGAAATTGATTGAATATTGGAAATAAAACACTTAGGTAATAAAGTATTCAAAATCAATCATTTTCATTCTTATGATTTCGTTTTGTCGTCATTAGCCTATATTGATGCATGCTAAGCAATTTGACTTACACTTCTCAAACATTAAGATGATTTTCAATATTCCAGACGCTCGAAGGAATTGGCAAATCGCGAATTACTCTATTTCAAGATATTCATATTCGTTGGTATTAGTATAGCTTTTGAAAACTCTTCTTTAAAAATTTTGAAAGGTTTCAAATTTGATATCACATGATACATAATCTCATCACATCATACAGTCATCAAACAATTTATTGCTTACTCGTATCTCTCTTAAACTTGAGTTTACAACGTTCTAACATCGCTTGAATCTAAAATTAAACACTTTTATTCAGAATATGAAGGTTTAGAAGTATACATGTTCTCAATGATTCAACAGCAGTGGGCGTCGTAACCTCATCGGCTATGGAATCGTCGCATGACATCATTTTTATTAACGAAGTGATGTCTAGGATACCCTTAAATGCCGACAATGTCCTCCAGAACGAATTTCGGTCACGGGGACAGCTCAACGGAGACTAGACAACTGAACAGGACAAGATTATATAGATGTGTTCTCTATTCAAAGTTTAAGAGTCTATTCAGTTTCAGTCTCAAAGTCCGATGGGGCGACAAACCGACGCAACTGGAGAGAGACCAGGCGAATGGCCAACGGCTTTACGTGCTTTCTGAGGCACGGGGGTGATATATCACCAGCTTCCTGAATCCAGCCTGCTACTGAAATTTTCTTGACAGATAACCCAATAACTTATTTTTCTCCCGAACCTATTACACATACTAAACTATGGACGAATATCAATTTAACAACAGCGTAATTGACTTTTTTTTTCAAACACTTTATCCCAATTCTATGATTTTTCCCAGTGTTGTTGAGGTAGTTTGCATACATAAAATTCACAAGGACAAACATTTAGACCCGGAACAAATATTACAAACAAAGACTTGTTCCGTGCAGGATTCGAAGTCACGGCCATCAGCGCCGTAAC